CCCCTCCACTCCCTTTGTACTACTAACAAATACATACGAATGAGCATCATTAAGAGTATAGACGATATGAAGATCAGAAATGAAATGAACAGAAGTATGAAGATGAAGGACGGACACAAAGGCTGTATAAGCTGAAGATCTGAAATGAAATGGACAGGAGTATGAAGCTCTGAAGAGATGCACAGGAGCATACCTTCCCTTTTACTCTGCCTCCTGAAATAACGTGCAAGTGGTCCGTGGAGGCACACGGGGATGTGGGCAGCTGCCGCTCAACCACAATCAACGTGGGCAGCCTTGCGCGTAAGAGGCACAGTAAAAGGGGAGCTGCAAGAACAATGAAAGGGGTACCCCAAGGACAACCAAAAAACTGTCTAATTATAAAATTGCTTTAATATGTTGGACATCCCAAATGATCTCGTTGTCTGCAATAGGATAAAGACTGCTTTGATTCCGAATCTATTCACCTGGGTGGAATTGGGGCTGTTGTGGGGAAAATCTAAAACACACACACAAACACAGACACAGACAAACATGCACACACAGAGGAAAAACAAAAACAAAAAAAAAGAGTGTCAGTCTGTCAGATCAACCAGCTAGACCACAACTCCCCTCCATGCTCTGAAAGTGTTCCACTGGTGTACGCACAGCAGTACCCGGGGGGGGAGGTGGGGGGGGGGAGTGGGGCGGGGCTGGACTGATAGGCCCATGCGACAGCGCGGCCGGCAGTGGTTCGACAAAACAATGTGCACCAACTTGGCGATTTTTTTGTGCTCAGAGTGGTTCGACAAAACAATGTGCACCAACTTGGCCATTTTTTTGCGCTCAGAAGAATGCACTTCAAAATCTGAAAAAAAACAGGTGCGTAAATCACGTGCTGATCTTTCCCAAAAACGTAATGGAGGGTTTAGGGATTAGGGGGTTAAGGAATTCTCAGAGATGGTAGAGAAATTTAGGAAAGGGGTCAGGATGGCTTTTGGATAAGGATGGATAAGGCAAGACTCTCACTACCAGATGAGGACGAGTAACAGAGTACAGAACAGTTGAGTTTACTAAGATCTGGCTGATTGAAGGAAAGTCGCAGAGATAGAGATCTCCTATGTCCAGTGGAAGGACTGGCACAACTCACAAGGTGCTAGGAGAAAAACAAGTTACCTTGCGATCAATGGAGTAGTCCCGGTACAGACAACAGCGTCCTATGCCGAGCAACAAGGATATCAGGCGGGAACTTTGGAAAGGAAGGAGATTCTGATTAGTGACTGGAGGCAGATCCTACCACTTTCTCTCGTTTTGAATAGATCCTTTTGACAGGCCCAAGAGGGAAACCTGAGAGGAGCAAGTTGTTAGGGCAAGCTGACAGTCAATCCTCCATCAAGGGAGCAATCAATGCTGATCAGGGGTCCTTCAGCCATATGGAAGGAAGCGTGAGTGTGTTTCATGATGTAATATTTTTCTGACTTGCCGGGGGAATAGGAACCGGACTGATGCTCCCCAGAATGGAAAAGGAGCCAGGCCCATAAGGACCTGTTCAAATTAAAAAAAAAAATATATATATATATATATATATATATATATAATAATAATAATAATAATAATAATAATAATTTAAAACTCGAAATTCAGTAAAAGAAATCCTAAGGGTGCAAAATAAAATCTCACAGACTGGAATTTTTCGCACGTCTTTGCATGAGCAGCAGATCGCAGAGATGATGGTCACTGCCAGGATGGACAGTCTTCACTGACACTGAACATGCAAACTACGTGAGAAAATGTCCGATAATCAGATGCACCGAGTGCTCTTCGGTACTCAAAAGTGGGCACTGATAGGGGCTTTCAGCGCATACCATGTCCACAAGAATAAAAGACCACACTGGTTTGAGTGCCACTGGGTGTTTTATTATGAGACAATTCTTCTTCCCTTACCTGCGACAGCCTGTCTGCAGCCTCTTTCTTCACTCTATCCAGCTCTTTTAAGAGCTGCTGCTCTCTGTCCTGCTTCTCCTCCACAGCTGCCTCTAGCTGGGCAAGTTCCTGTTCTGCCTTCGAGTTGCGGATTTTCTCCTCCCAGCCCTTCCCTTCCCCCGCCACCATGTCGACTTTCTGATCCGCTGCTTCAAGATCCCGGGCTTTCCCCTCCAATAACCCCTTCATGTTTTCCACCTCCCCAGCTTTCTGCTTTACCTCTGCAATCACTGGCTCCTTGTCCCTGTGCCAATCTGCAATAACGCCATCCATAGTATCGATCTGCAACCTGCAATTCCCCAGCTGAGCTCTGATCACCTCCAGTTGCTGCCGTAGACCCAATGCTTCAAGAACTAAGCCTTGTACTGCTCGATTCTTATCTCCGCCGTCAAAACTTTCTTCTGGATCTTCACCCTCGTCTGCTCTATCTCTGAATCCATGATCCTGTTTGCTGCCTGCCCAACCTCGTCAATAAGTTGGCCCTGGCCACCGGTCAACCCCGGGCTTTTGCCAGCCTCTTCCAGCATCGCCTTGTAGATTCGGTACCCTTTTTCAGCCTTCTTTACTCTTGAGGAAAATCCGCTTCTCCTTGAGCTCCTGGTACTCTGTCGTGTCTTCCAACCAAATATATCTGCTCAAAACAAGCTCTCGACTGTCCTCCAAAACAGTCCGTTCCTCTGCGTCGCCGAAGTCGCCAACATCGCTACAACCACGGCCTTGCGCACCGTTTGACTCCCGACTGTCCTCCACAACCGCCCGCTCCTCTTCGCTGCACAACTTGCAATCAACACTGCAAGGACAGCCTTTCCACCCTTGTGGCATGACAGCAAAGCAATCCCCAGGATTGCCAGCTCCGTCATCACTGTTATCCACCTCCCCTTCACTACCTTCTCCCTGCCTGCATGGCCCAGGTGGCTCCTAAATACTGTCGTAACAGAATCTGCAAGGCCTCAGGCACTCGTTTGGAACTTCTCACATCCCTTGCATGCGTCCTCGATGCTCGTTTGGACAACAGCCTCTCTGCTTCTATAGCGCTCTCATTTGCAGACTTAAACTCCTCTAGCATGTGCTCTTGCTCTGTTTCAACTTCTTCAATCTGCATAAGAAAGACAACCATCTCCCATTTCACTACTAACCAGAAATACGTAAACCTACCCAGCCCATGTGGGCCCAATGCTACAATGCCTGATGGAATCAGATGAAAAAATAAGGAGACAGCTGCACAGTTCAGAATTCGCAGAAATAACAGTCCACTGCAAGCTTGGGCGAAGACCAGTTAGAAACTGCAAGAAAAACAGTAAATCATGCATTCGACGGCCTACCGGTTCAATAATTGGCAAAAACGGGAGGGGGTACCTCTTCACAGGCAGTATGCACCCATGATGTTCAATGCCTGATGGAATCAGATGAAAAAATAAGGAGACAACTGCGCCTGTGACCGCTGCACAGTTGAGAATTCGCAGAAATCAGAGTCCACTTCAAGCTTGGGCGAAGACCAGTTAGAAAACAGTAAATCATGCGTTCGACGGCCTACCAGTTCAATAATGGGCAAAAACGGGAGGGGGTACCTCTTCACAGGTGGTATGGGAGATCAGAAGGAAAGTCAAAGCAGCCACCAGGAGGTCCCACCACAAGGTCCTGCATCACATGACCCCAGCCATACCTGCAACACAAGTACCACACACACTAGGCTACTGTCTGCCTACCTGTTGAGTGCGTGTGGCATACTGCGCACCACACGGGCCTGCAGGGCCCGACCAGTCAGAATAAGGGCCCTCCAGGCCCTGTGTCGTTTCAGCCTGAAAGCGTCAAAAGGAGGGCCAATTTTAGGCCCTCATAAAGTCGACCTTTCCTGAAACTTAGGCGCCAGACCAGGGATAAGCGCAGGCCACTTTTAGGCCCGTTTCAAGACTGTCACAACCTTTTTTTGAACTTCAGCGCCAGGGTCTGGCACGATTCGGCATTGGCAAGAGCAGCCTCCCAGCCGGACCGCGATATAGTACTGGTCCGCCCAGGAGGCAGCAGGCAGTTCAGGAGGCAGGAGGCAGTCTTCAGGATTGGGCAGCAGCACTCTGCAGGAGCGCTGCAGTAGTATTAGCTAGCGATAGGAGTAGTCTTCAGCGCTGGGCGCTGCTAGGGCCTTAGAGTAGCGTTGGGAGAGAGGAAGTGGCGGAGGCCAGGGAGACTTACCAGGGAGCTTACCTGTGGCGCCATAGCTCCAGCTTCGTCTTCGCTGTACCTGCAACAAGGCGCCACCTTCACAGGTTAGTACCTGGTACACACACACACACACACACACACAGAGAGAGAGAGAGAGAGAGAGAGAGAGAGAGAGAGAGAGAGAGAGAGAGAGAGAGAGAGAGAGAGAGAGAGAGAGAGAGAGAGAGAGAGAGAGAGAGAGAGAGAGAGAGAGAGAGAGAGAGAGAGAGAGAGAGAGAGATTTGTGACTTCGGGGTGTTGACGACATTTTGATACAGACTCCACCTGGGCACAGAGACATTGATGGGAGACTATTTGGGATCGATATCAACGACATTGGTGTTGGCGGCATTCTCATCTTCTCCCCCCATCTTCGTCTGATCATCCTCCTTTCATCTGTGTATGAGCGGAGCCTGGCGCATTCTTCCTGTGTGTAGAGCCAGGCCCCTCCATACCATGCAATGATGATGATGTATGTGTGGTCTGCATTTCGACATTGATTTGTCTGATCATTGGATTTTTAGCCTTCCGCTGTGCTATCCTGTAGTATGTGAGAGAGGTCGGTTCTTGTTCTGGTCTGCACCGTTAGGGTATCCAACAGTGTGTCTTCTGAAACCTGAGTTTACTGTCATTCACCTTACGCTGTCAAATAGGTTACAACAGGCTTCAAGGTTCATGAAGGTCAAATATGCAATTGTGAGGTAGATCTACCTGCCAAATCTCACTCTTGGAAGGCAAGCCCTGCAGTTTGCACTTCAGGCGTCAAGGTTCATGAAGGTCATGTGCATGAGGTTGAAGACGGTGTAGGGTTTTAGGCATTCAAATGGGCCACACATACTACAGGGGGCCTGCTGAACAGGGCTGGGCAAGTACATAAAAGGGCTTCAAGAGGGAAAGGGTGTCACTAGAAGCTCCATGGGACAACGAGACGCGGGAAGAGGGGAAGAGATAAGCCCACAGCCCCAGGAAAATAACAAACAGCAATCTCTGTGTTATAAGATATATCACTGGGACGCTGGACCCGGTTTCCAGCAGGTGCCGCTCCCCACCAATAGATGGAGCAGCCCGACAGAGAAACCCTCAATCCTGATGGCTCTCTTACCACCGCCGGAATAGAGGGGAGGTGGCGGTCGTGGTACCGCTCTTTTTCCCGTGGCCTGGCCTGGGAGCAGTCACCGGTGGCAGGCCCTCCCCTTTTTGGCTCGTTTCTCCAGGGGTGTGGCCTAGGCATCTGGGCCGTGGCCTAGGCATCTGGGCCGTGGCCTAGACATCTGGGCCGTGGCCCAGCCATGGGTGTGGCCAAGACATCTCGGCCATGGCCCAGTCACGGGTGTGGCCTAGACAGCTCGGCCCTGGCATAAGCAGGCACAAAAAAAAGAAAAGAAAAGAAAAAAAAAACATGAGTGGCCGCCTGATTTTGCCACTTCCCAACGGCTAGAAGTGCACCAAGCTGTTCTGTTCTGTTTTTGCAGTTTCTAACTGCCCTCCCTCGGCCCAGAACCGCAGTGCCCTGTTACTCCTGTTATTCCTTCCTGACAATTGGGAACTGTGCACGGGTCACCTACGTAGTTATTTCAAAAATACTGAAACCTCCAGACCCTCACCCTTTTATATGTTTTGATTCATGAAAACGAAAACCCTTACGTCCCCCCAATTCTCTCTCTCTCTCTCTCTCTCTCTCTCTCTCTCTCTCTCTCTCTCTCTCTCTCTCTCTCTC